GCACACCCACACACACTCACAGACTAGCGCGCACACCCACACACACTCACAGACTAGCGCGCACACCCACCCACACTCCCTTACAGACTAGCGCGCACACCCACACACACTCCCTTACAGACTAGCGAGTACACCCACACTCCCTTACAGACTAGCGTGCACACCCACATACACTCACAGACTAGTGCACACCCACATACACTCACAGACTAGTGCACACCCACACTCCCTTACAGACTGGCGCGCACACCCACACTCCCTTACAGACTAGCGAGTACACCCACACTCCCTTACAGACTAGCGAGTACACCCACACTCCCTTACAGACTGGCGAGTACACCCACACTCCCTTACAGACTAGCGTGCAAAACTACACCCACTCAGACTTGCATGCACACCCACTCACAGACAAGAGTCCACATTCACACACTCACAGACTAATCACACAATCAGAGACAGGCAGGGCTCAGGTACTGACCTCTCCTATTGCTCTTTTATAGCTCTGTACGTCACAGGAGAGGAAGAAGAGCAGCAGGAAAAGGAGAGGACAGTCAGAGGGGAAAGGGGCAGGGGTAGAAAGAGGGGGGAGAGACAGTAGGAGGAGGCAGGAGGATGGACATCCAGGTGGGCAGTTAGAGAACGACAAGGGGGGAGGAAGAGAAGGAGAGAAGGTTGAGTTAGTGCAGCTCTTCCGAATCGAAACAGAGGATCAGGGGAATCAGTGAATGTACATCCCCAATCAGGGAGCACTCAGAGCGCTGAAGAAGAGTGAACAGACAGAAACAGAAATAGCCCAAAACCGAAACCTGAAGAAATTCTTCCATTTAGTCCATCACTGGAGAAGGCACGCGCTCATTAATGCTCAAGACAATCACCAGCTTGACGAGCAGAAAGTCCAAGTTTACTTCCCACACACTGTAAAACCTGAAGGACTGGGCCTCACTAGCAACCTGTCCTTGAGGGGTGACTCACCGCAGGACGACTGGGCCGGGAGGCAGTCCGCGACTCCCCTGGCTTGTGTCGGTTGTCCTGGGACAGGATGGGAGAGGCGTCAATCTTGGAGGGACCTACAAGACAGATGGAGAAATATTTAGGACAGGACAGGAGAGGACGGGTTAACGGCATCAACGCTGGTTTTCATCTCGGACGATCTCTCCGTTACGTCAAGGAACCTTCCCTTAAAGTGAACATCAGCTCAGAAATTCCGCCAAAAAAATTCAAGGTTTCTGCAATACGCTTGACACTTTTTAGTGTTATTAAAAACTAATCCAGTTTAGCCAATTATGAGCCCCATTAAGCCACCTATTTATCTCTAAAATGAGAAAGATCAGAATAATACAGTAGCTTCCTCTCGTTAGGAGTCTCTTATTGATGTTCTTGATGTTTAAGGTGTGAAGTATTAATACTTACCAGGCAGAGTACAGAATACAAAATAAAAACGGAGTGAGAGTTGATGGGAATCTGGACAAGGACAGAAATACCAACCCCTGTGTCAGTGAGGGATACAGACTCTCCCGAATCCCACTCACCCATGATCCGGTGCCGCTCCAGAGAGCCTGTCTGAGGGAGGTTGGAGACGGAGCTCACGCTGTCCCCACGGTCCCAGCCATCATTCCTCCGCAGGTCAGGATTGCTGAGAGAGGAAGAGGAAGGCGACACAGACAGGAAACGTCAGACAGACAGAAACGGAACGATGTCCTCGCACACAGAGCACACTGTGGCCGAAAACCTAAGCCCTCTCACCTGGCCCGGACAGGGTGTCGGATTCCAGAGGACAGGTTGGTGTTGAGGGCCGCTGCAATAGAGGTGGTTCTCTGGGGCACCTGAGAGAGACAGACAGGTTAACTACAGAAATAGAGACAGGTTAATCCAGAGAGGGAGCCAGAGTGAGAGAGAGGCATGTTGGTTAAATACAGAGGGAGACAGGGTGTGAGAAGAGGTATACGGGGTGAAAATAATGAAGGAAAAGAAGATAGTCAGCAAAAGGTTCCCTTGTACTACGTGTTCAAATCATGTATGGTATGAAAACCCTCAGGGGCCAATGGCTGAGGGCAAAACAAACTCAGTTGTGGGCATTCTCACCTTGGGAGGCTGCTCCGCCTCCTGCATGCGGATCCAGGGTCCTCTGTCATCTCTGATTGGTCTGGGCTGGGGGGCGGGGCTCTCGGAGGTGGGGTCTGAATTCTGGCGCACCAATTCCCTGCAGGGGAGAGCACGGGGGGCGGGGCTGGGGGATGGGCCAGGGGAGGGGTCCTGGGTGGGGAAGGCAGACATGGTCTTAGTGGGCTGGTCACAGAGAGACTGGGAGCGAGGGACAGGGGCCGCATAGGGTTTCAGCGGGACCAGGTGAGCCATCTGGAACTGAAAGGGGGAAGGACAGGAGGGGACAGAGGGTGATGGGGACAGGGGATAAGAGAGAAAGAGTGAAGAGTGGTGGATGAGATAGAAGGCAAGATTGCGTGGAGGTGTGGTGGGATAGGAGTGAGACAGCACAGGGGAGAGGGGGTGTGGAAGAGTGAGAGAACGGGAAGGGAATGGGAAATCAGGGATGGGGCCAGGGGGCAGGAGCAGAAGGGAGGCCAAGAGCAAGAAAAAAAAAGGAGAGGAGAAAAAAGGGAGAGGGGTTAATACAGCTGCAGCCGACACAGCACAGCCAGACTGTACTGAGCCACTGAGACAGAGAAACAGAGGAACAGAGAGAGCAAGAGGGCGCTAATGCAGACAGACAGGCAGAGAGCGAGACAGCAGGACGAATGGTTTTAGTGGGGTTTGGGCCTGAGAGAGTGGTTAATGCAGCAGGATAGACAAGTCAGTGCGATCCCACAGAGTGACCGACAACAGACACACAACCACAGACACGCCCACACGCAGCCACAGGCACAAACACAGACAGTCGCAGACAGAAAGTCAGAGGCCATCAGACAAGCCCTGCCGGTCAGGGACAGACGCACGCAGTCGGGCGGACAGACCTTGCTCTGGCTGCCCTGCGGCTCGACGGGCCTCTGCATGGGCGGGGTCTGCGCTGCCTGGGAGGCTCCTGATTGGCTGATGGACTCGGAGCGCGACTGGAGGGCTGTGTCAGAGACAGTGGTGCCCATCTTGGGTGAGTTCTGCCGGTTCAGCTTTGAGCGCTCCTCCACCTGCGGGTGAGAGAAGCAGGGTTCAGTCCAGACACAGCGGACATGTCTGTATCAACTGAAGGGACATGTAAGGCTCAGTATCAGGGGTAGGAAGGTCAAAGGTCTTTGGGGCCAGAATTAACATCAGAAATAAAAATTAGGGTCAGTCTTACTGGTGTCAGTATTAAGAATAAGTAACTGTAGCTCGGGGGGTCAGTATGGAGGTCAGTGTCCGGTCAGTATTGGGGCTACTGGGATCAGCCCTGAGGTCAGAGCCGGAGGCGAGGGGGTGGTACCTCTCGGGCCCAGGCAGGCTTGTTGTTGGGCTCCAGGCCCTTGCTGTAGTGGTACAGCTGGGGCTTCTTGTCCTGCTGCTGCTGCTGCTGCTGCTGCTGTTGCTGCTGCTGTTGCTGCAGAGAGACCAGGTAGGCGTGCTCCTGCTGCAGCTGCCTCTGCAGCCTCTCCGACTGCCGCTGCTCCTCCAGCTGCTTGCGCTTGTACTCCTGCAGGGGGCGCCGGCGAGCCACAGTCACGACACTGCACACCGTGTCCCCATGCGATTCCCCCCACCCTGCACACCCCCGGCACGCGTCCCCTGTCCTCCCACACCCTCTACCCCAGTCCCCCTATGCCCAAGTCCCAGCCCCTGGCACCCCTATGGCCTGTACCCCAGGCCCAGGAGCTCACCAAGCAGCACTAAAACAGCACTTCGGAGCAGGCCCTGAACCGCCGGGACTCGTGCTGGCTCGGGCCGGCCTGTGCCAGGGGCTACGTTTCGCATGCATCCGGGGGAAAGGGTGAGGTGGCTGGGGTTACCATGAGCAGAGCCTGTTCCTGCAGTAGCTGCTGCTGGAGTATTTCTAATTGTCGCTGCTCCTCCTCTAACTTATGCCTTATGAATTCCTAGGGAGAGGGAGAAAGAAAAGGACAAGGAAGGAAAGGAAAGATAAAAAAGAGCAGAAATCGTATGCAAGACTTTATGTCAGGCTGTCCCTGTCCTGTGCCAAGTACCCTTGTACTGTGTG